TTAATGCACTGGACTGGAAGCAAGAAAAAGTTAGTCACATTTTATGTGCCACGTTCTCACACGTACCTGTCTATCCTCTTCCACTTCATGGATGCGAAAGCTTTACCTCCTGCAAAATGTCAGCACATGTAGTAGGACACCAGTATCCTAGGACAGAGAGCCATAAGCAGCCCTTTGGAGGACTGATGGTGTCAACCAAAGGCATGTGATTGATTAATGGTTTTCCCCTTAGAAAGCAAGTGTTACCAAAGTTGTGTTATCTTGAAAGCATTACAGGTAAGGGCATGTTATGGTTATTTATCGTTGTCTAATGACTAGTAGAGGCATTAAAGGACTATGTATACATGATTAGGGTAAGGTAGAATGTATCATATATATATATATATATATATAGCTGAATCTTTGGTTACTGAAATAGGCAGCACTCTGAAAGACAGAAGCATCGGCCAGCCTTTCCGCAACACACATTCTTTGCAGCGCAGTTTAAAGCCGTCCCAGTAGAGCAAGCCCTAAAGCAGCTGTAATTTTTGCCATTTTCCAGGAATGCTGGTATCGGCTGACTTTCCGTCAGAAAAACGGCCTTCTGTGCTTTCAAAAACAAAACAAAAAAACAAAACAAAACAAAATAACAAAAACAGGTGGAAAGAAGAAAGTTGAACTGGAGTTACATTTCATTTAAACTAAGTATAAGTGCATTTTGCAAAATGTTGAGAATAATTTAGTCAGTCGTTAATCCGTCACTGATACTGTAAAATAGGAGTGGTCTGTTTCCACTGTTTAATTTTCTACTCGGTTCTACCAAATAGGATGTCAGGTTTGGCATTTTTGATAATGACTTTGGGACCTTTTTCACTGAAAGCACCTTAGAACTATACTACAAGGAAACACTTCCCATACGTATAACTCCATGAATGTGATGTTTATTTCTTATTAATTTATAATTCAGCCATTCTCTTATATAGGACTTTAAAAAATTTAAAGTGGAAATCTAGCTACTTCCAATTATCTATCAAATTTCTTATGCCCAAATCAGCCTCTGAAAAAAAATTTTTTTCAGGAAGATTTATGTTTAGGTTTCGTATTTTTTAGTTAGGTAGAGTTTTCAAAATACTTGAGACTGTCTGTGATAAAATTATAAAATTCAATAACATTTTTAGAATGTTAAACTAAGACACTGTTTCCTAATGCCAGTGCTAAATAAGTCTTTGAATTTAAACATTCATATTTAATGAGTGCCTACGGTATGCCAGGCACTGTTCTAGGCACTGAGGATAAAGTGATGGATAAAACAGACAGAAATCCCTGCCCCTTTGGAGTTTTCACTCTAGGGAGGGAGTTGCATTTTACCGTTTACTAGCGTTCTGCATAAAAGCTAATAAGCTAAACTCTTGATAGCTCCTGGAAAGTTTAAAAGGAAACTTTTCAAATTGGTTAAATTAATTTTAGTTTATTTTCCCAAGTGAAAACAGCTTCCTATTTAGATTCTGTCACAGGCCATTGATCTTAAGATTAGTTTACTTTCAAAGGGGTGTTTTGCACATTTAAGTTATACTTGTGAATTCTGAAATTTACCAGCCATCATACCGTATCAGACTGGATATCTTAATAGTAGATTGAATATAAAACTAATTTTTTACATGGCAATATTGGAATGAAACTGGAATGAAAGAAGAAATACTTTGATTCAGACCTGTTCCACTCTCTGTTTCTAAAACATGCTATGAGCACTCCAGGAAACACTATATTTTTCCCCAAAATACATGTAATCATATATGTTAAAGTATAGATAACATTTCAAATTTGGATATATATGTGCATTTACTGTATTTCTTGGTAAACATATTTTAGGGGAAAAGTGCTGCTGATAAGGTACGAATAGACAAGATTTAAATGAAATTGTGTCACATTCTATGGAAAATGGTTTCTGGTAAACTGAGAAGGCTATTAAAATAAGTGACTTTTTTTCTGGGCTACCATTATTATTTGATTTCTCTTTGTCAAGTGTACAGAACCTGTCATACATTCATGATAAGTAGCACTGAAAATTACCCATTCGAATTTCCCCTGGGCACTATACGGCAAAATATTGCCAGTTAGAATGTAAAGGTCAGTGACAACGCATTCCCTCCCCCAGTTACTAGCTACGGATGCTAGTAACTGCATCTCCGATACAGCCTCCCCTGCTGGACACGGGGAGTTGGGTGGAGAGTCGCTTGACCGTCTAGAAACACATGAATAAAACCTTTATGACTGTTAGCCATTGAAAAACATGGTTCTTAGTATCTTAATCAAAACTTTAGTCCCCAGCAACTAAAGTCCCCAAGTTTTCTTATTTCAGTTTACTCTTTGACTAGATTTGAGGCAAATCAACGCTAACAGGTCCATGCAAATAGAAGACACTTGCTTCTACTACTGGAGATACAGGGTATGTCCTAACGGAGTTAGATGGAATAGTAGTGCAGCAGCAAGTGTCTATGGCTCCTTAATACTGGAGGATTCACGCAAATGCTTTGGTAATGCCTATCGAGTTAATGGGAGGAAATAGCAAATAAACATCAGGTAATCCACAGATTACTTCAGATGGGAAAAGTCTTTATGTACATTTGAACTCTATAGTATCCTCCCTACTCACCAGCTTCTGAAAAAGGAGGAATATTTTTAGTTTAATAATTTAAAAATACATTTCCAGGTAGGATAAAACGGAAGCTACTTGCTGCAAACATCATCTAATTTTGCTTAAAATCAAAAGTCGTAATACTGTTGCATTCTGTAAATGTTGCAGGGTTTTAAACTTTACAATTATTTTAATATTTTTGATAACTAGGAATCTAGCATTGCCATAAAGGAAACTAAGTGCCCATTAAAGATTTGTTTGGTATAAATAAATAATTTTTGTTTTGTTTTAAATGGCAGTAAGCTACAAATCATGATGTTAATCTAACTTTCTGAAGATGAATTGTGTGGCAGTGATTGTGGTCTGTTTGTGGAGAATGTATGAGAGCTATTAATATTCTGAAATAGATTAATAAATTGGCTATGTTGTTCCAATGAATGTACAGCACTTCCATTAACTTTTGAAAGCAACACAGCCTTAAGCTCAATGTCTTTGCTTTATGACATGGGAATGTTCTGTCATCAACAGAGTGTATTCTTAGAATTCTTTGTATCATTCTCAATTCTACAGCCTTTCAGTCCTATGTATGAATATGAGGGGGTTTTGCTTCGTTTTTTTTCTTTTTAAATTTTATACATTCCATCTTAAGAGGTCTATTTCATACGTTCTGTGTGTACAACACTAAGTCTTGCGCTCTCTGACATTGATACTGATACATTCTCATCATTTGTTCCTTTATGAATCAAAATGCTGACTGCCTATTTAAAGAAAAGAATGAACGCTGTGCATCAAAGTGTTTGTACGTTCGTAGCTACATACGTACCACAGTATTTTGGATGCTTTAGTCTACAATAAATCCTTAAATTAATTCTGTCTTGAAAATAGGAGAAACAAGATTCGTGTGTATACCTTTACCATGCACAAAATCTCAAGTCCTTATAATAAAGCTTGTTTTCTCCATTTCCAGAGTGAATGTTTGTTTATTTATTTAACCTATTGTTCTCTTTCTTGGTGAAGGAAAATGAAGGTATGTTGAGACGTCAATATCTCAACCAAATTGTTTATACTAGTGAGAAAAGGCTGAGTGAACGGGACTGTGTTCTTAATTTCTCTTTCTGATGGTTTGTCTTTAGTGTTTAGAAAAGCAACAGATGTCTGTATATTAATTTCGTATCCTACAACTTTACTGAATTCAGTTTTAGTTCTAATAGTTTTTTGGTGGCATCTTGAAGATTTTCTATGTATCGTATCATGTCATCTGCAACCAGTGATGGTCTTCATTTCCAGTTTGGATTCCTTTTATTTCTTTTTACTGTCTGATTGCTCTGGCAAGGGCTTCCAAAACTATGCTGAATAAAAGTTATGAGAGTGGACATCATGGTCTTGTTCTTGATCTTAGAGAAAATGCTTTCAGCTTTTCACCATTGAGTATTTTGAGTGTAATGTTAACTGGGGGCTTATTATATATAGCCTTTAACGTGTTGACGATGTTCCCTCTATTCCCACTTTGAGAGTTTTTATCATGAATGAATGTTGAATTTTGTCAAAAGCTTTTTCTGCACCTACTAAGATGATCGTATGGCTTTTATTCTTCAGCTTGTTAACGTGCTGTATCACATTGGTTGATTTGTGGATACTGAAAAATCCTTGCATCCCTGGGATAAATCCCACTCGATCATGGTGTGTGATCGTTTTAATGTATTGCTGGGTTCAGTTTGCTAATATTTTGTTGAGGATTTTTGCATCTATGTCCCTCAGTGATACTGGCCTATAATTTTTTTTTTTTGGTCATATCTTTGTCTGGTTTTGTTATCAGGGTGCTGCTGGCCTCATAGAATGAGTTCAGAAGTGTTCCTTCCTCTGCGGTTTTTTGGAATTGTTTGACAAGGATAGATGTCAATTCTTCTCTAAATGTTTGGTAGAACTCACCTGTAAACTCGTCTGATCCTGGTCTTGCAGTGCTATAAACTTTCTCTTGGAACTGCTTTTGCTGCATCCCGTAGATTTTGGACTGTTGTGTTTTCATTTTCCTTTGTCTCCAGGTATTTTTTATTTCTTCTTTGATTTCTTCGGTGACCCACTGGTTGTTTAGTAGCATATCGTTTAGCCTCCACCTGTTTGTGTCTTTGCAGTTTTTTTCTTATAGTTGATTTCCAGGCT